TCCATTTTATGCCTGTTTCCTCGCTCCCCGGCCTGCTGTCTGTCGCATTATCCAATCTACTGTAATCAGGAAAAGCATTGGTGATAGTTGGCAGCCTTGTCTTACTCGCAATAATTATTAAGGACACATCTAAAAACTCCAGTTTGAATGATGAACGCCCCTTAATGACAAGTAAAATGGAAGCATTGTTGATGCAGTAAGCTGCATATAGGAGAATAAAACCATAAAAAATGTAATTTTAGGTGTTTAACTTTGAAGCCTGAGGACTAGAAATTACTAAAAAAAAGTAACATTTACCAACACAGACACTAGCAGGAACTTCAAAACCATCCAATTAAATACTATACCTTATTACGCAGGATGTTAAAGGTTATCAGCAGGGTAAGCAGTTTGCCACTTAGCCAGCTTGTTAATATTCTGGTGGACAGGCACATGGACTCATGTAAAATATGGGCGAAATCCATTTTATCTGACTCACAACACCCTCTACATTCACAACTCTCCCCATGTATCTCTTCAGAGAAAGCCAGAAGCCTATATAGGAAACTATATGCCCGTACTAGTAAGTACAAAAACTCATCCATATCCTATCTAGCTCGTGTTCTGTGCGATAAAGAAAGCATTAGGCGTGAAACCTTTAACTTATTAAATAGTCAGTAGAACTAATGGATCTCGTCTTTCCAACTCACATCATTTACAGGTACAACGTTTTCTCTCTACCTTTTTTTGTTATGTGTTGTTTTGTTTCTCTTTTCCTTGCAAACTCTACTTAAAACATTCTTGTTCGTTCTTTCACACTCTCTATACCTCGACCATTTTGTTATCGCTTAGGCCAGTAAATATGCTAGTAGTATCTACTCTTCTAACACCTTCAAACACTTTGTTTAAATTTTGGCTTTGCTACCGATATGCTAATATGTTGTTGTCAAAACTGACTGAGATAACTTTAATCTATGCAGAACTTTATTTATTGATAATGTACTAACTGGATGCAATATTGTAGTAAAAATGCTGAGAATTCCATTCTGTATTCACAAAGTACTGTTTTGGAATAAAGCTATTATCTTATCTTAAAGTATTTCCATATCCTAACTTAGTAAATTACGTAATCTAAAATCAATAAGTAATGAGCATCACTCAGAAATAATCACCATTAAAAGAAACTAAAAATGATAAGGGCTTGGGAACAAGAACATTATTCAAAATGTTAAGACATTCAGAAGATGAAACGACCGAATGAATACGGATTACACACCAAGTTATTGTATGAGTTAACGGAAGGAGAGTTTGAGGTCACGGTAGTAAAAGGGATTGGATAAACCACTTATGTATACACAGTTCAGGATTTTTCTTATGTATAATAAGAGCTTCTAATGTGAACAGAAGATATAGCCAGGAACCCTTCGAACAATTCGGGCTTACCTTATATGTCTACTGATCTGATTGATTTGATATAACTTGTGAGAATAAAGTGCTCAAAAACTGAAATATTGGTCCGCTTAATTTTTTTTTCTTTTCAACAACCTTTATTAGGAGATGTTCTTGTGCACGTCTAGACTGTATTCTACTTGAATGGCCTATATACTTAGCTACAAAGGAGAAAGTGAACCGTCACATGGATGTTGATGATGATGTATAGATGAGTAGGAGGTTTCATTGAATTCTTCAGGTTTTCCCATCGATTGATTGGACCGAAATGCTCGGTCTCAGGTTGACATGTCGGCTTCTTGTGCAGATGCTTCGACGATGTCTGGGCATTTATAAATAATTTAATTGGTGGATGGTGATTAGCAGTGGAATCCAGGATAACGCGCATTTCATCCTATTTGAGACTCATCATCTGGATGTACCTGCATTTCTCAGTGAGCGATGAGGTTCCCGCCGAGGCTGGAACCCAGTGTCCATAGTTTCAAACGCCCAAGCGTTATCCACTAGACCACTTGGGCCACGAGAGTTACCTCTGGGTTCGAGCCTCAGTGGGAGCATCATCACTCACTGAGAAATGCAGGTACATCCAACTAGCTGACGAGTCCCAAATGGAACGAAATGTGCGTTATCCTGGATTCCACCGCTAGTCACCATCCATCAGTTAAATACTGAGTAAGAGGTTGTTTGGAGAAAGTGAGATGTGAAGATATGAGGAAGAATATTTCTCGAGTCTCTTTTGATAAACTGCTGTTTATCCAAAACCTTTCACTACCGTCATGTCAAACGTTCCTTCCATTAACTCGTAAAATAACTTGGTATGTAATCCATATTCATTCCGTTGTTTCATCTTCATCTTATTTCTTTTTCTTTCAAACTCCTCTTAACTTTATAAATATTCTTAATCTCTTATGCTTTTGAATAATGTTCTCGTTCCCAAGCTCTTATCATTTTTAGTTTGCTTTTTTAATGGTGGTTATTTCTGAGTGATGCTCATCACTTATTAATTTTAGATCATGAAATTTATTATCTTCATAATGTCACTACTTGAGCATAGAAGTGGACCGTGCTGCTACACTTGGCGTCATTGTTAGAGTATGGTATGAAACCCCTTCAGGGCAAAGTTAAGCCTTAAGCACCAGCAAGCACCAAGAGATAAATGACCTTGAGCGTAACAACCACATGATAAAGAAGAATTTCGCATATAAAATACATATATATCCATGAAAATAATGAATTAAAAGGCATGAAACTGTTACACAGGATACCTTTCTCTAACATGCGATAAAAATATAAGGATAAAACTTGGGCAATAAAAAGACCTAAATGATCAAATAAAACAGATAGAAGAGGCGTTGGTGTTAAATAAATAACTATCCTATAAAATTCATCAGGAGGATCAAAAAAGTTTTAAAGCCAATTATAAATTGATATGTATCCATATGTATATATATATGTGTGTGTATGGTGATCTCTCTTTCTGTTTGCTCGCTTAGTCTGTGACCATTTCACTTTGATGAACTTACTCCTTTAACAATGTATATTCCCCTTATATTATATATAATATGAGTGTTTGTTGACAGTCCGTTGCTTGGTGACATATATCCATATATGGTGGTTGTTGACATGTCTGCTATATTTTGCTATGTATATTTGGATCGACACTCCATTATAATTAGCCATTCATGTTAAGACTGTCTATTGATTTGTTCACACACTTGTCTGGATGGTCATATATATTTCGCTCTCACAATTTGTGTGACTTACTTACTTTGGTGTGATACCACTTTTGCATTCTCCTTGTGTTTGGAAAATAGAAGTATCATCGCAAACCCAGTGGTCTTCTGATTTCCGCCTTCTTGCGTCAGGACTATTACATTCTCGACCAGTACATAACAATAATTTAGCGACGAGTACATAACAATTTGGCGACGGGGAAAACTACTATTAACCACTCAGCAGCAACAACATAACATAAATAACGGTGAAACTAATAATGATGACATAAATAAGGAAGAATATAAGTCATCTACAGTTATACCATATAAGGAGGGGACATCTGAAATCCTACGTAGGATTCTTAATAAAGCAGGAATTAGGGTGGCATTTAAACCTACAAACTCACTCAGATGGGAAAAGCCCTGTAGACTAAAAGACCCGGTGGACCCAATTAGACAAAGTAATATAATTTACAAAATATCCTGCAATGACTGTGAGTGAGGTCAACTATATAGGTCAAACCAGTAGATCGGGTGTAATCAGATTGTCGGAACATAAGCATTTAGCTAAGGTAAGAATGATTGACCCAGAGAAGATAAGTAATTTAGTAAAAACCTCAGGAATTGTACTACATGCATTAACATACAACCACACAATAGGGTGGGAGAGGGTTAAGATTCTAAGAAGTAATATAGGTAGGTGGAGAGCGAGGGAGATTGATTACTGAATCCTGCCTGAATCATCGAGTCTACACCCAACACATGCAACAGAAATGACTCAATGCATATACCAGAGAAATGTATGGAAGATATTATTACCACCAGTCAGTCAAATCATAGGAGAATAATAAATAATATTAAAATTCTATTTCAATCCACGTACATCATAACATTCTAACAAGTTACTTATTATGACTGTAAAAACACTCGTCTTATTCCCCATTTGATTGTAACTGATCCATAACACTCATATTATTATTTCTGAATGCACGTTATCCCATACTGATTTTTATTCACATATCTAGTCAATTCCACATGTATATAAATGAAGGAAAAGTTGTGTGAGTAGCTTAATATGATTATAAGTGGCAATAATTTATGCTCGAAACGTCATCAGTTAATATTACTATGTAACACTGTGTGACTTATCAAAAGAAAATCTTATCTATAATGTGACAAAAATACCCCTCAATTTTGGACTGGAGTGTAAACAGAGTAATTTAGCCACATTCTTTACACGTAATTCTCTAGTCTTCTAACCCTAACCCTAATCTTTCCTTCACTTAACCCTAACATGAAAATGCCCTAAAACTAATCCTAATCTAACTCAAACCAAGCCTAATGTCGCCCTCGTTAGGTTAACCTAACCTTAATCTTTCTCAAACCTAACCTGAAAATCACCAGATATCCCATTTAATAACACAACACCTCATTAAGCATATTTTATTCATGATTACTACATTATGTAATAAGTTCCACTAAGTTGTCTACCGAGAGTTTCAAGGTCATTGGTGCGATCACACTCCGTTGGTATTTACTAGTGCTTAAAGCTTAACTTAGCCCATTCAGAATTAATTATGAAATATTCAAAATAATTCAGTCTGACTCGGCGTTCAAATTAATCCAGGAATTTCGTAACACCAACGATCTGGAAACTTACGTTCAGAAGTAACACTAGATAGACAAAAACTTTTATACCTTTATTCCGCTGTAAAGTCTACTTCTGATTGGTCCTCTAATAATTATGCTTCTTTCTGATTGGCTAACTTCATTAAGTTAAATCGATAAAATCACGTGATCAAACAAAAAAGGGAGAAACAATGTATGTAGTCAGAATGCTCATAGCACAGTACTTACACGAAATACATGACTCATTAATCGATTATGATAATTTCTCAATGTTTCATCATAAGCTCGTACAATGATATCACGCATTAGTTCATTACTTTTTGATCTTGAAAAATGATGTAGTAAACAAATGACAAATTGAAATGTTCTCTTTAACCATAATAAACCAATTGATCCAGAAGAATCATCACGATTTATTTCATTGGATAATAATTCATACACAGTGTTTACATGAAGATTGTTTGCAGCACGTGACACTTTCTGTAAAACAACAAAAATAGATCTTTGTTTAAGTACCGATCTATTCCCCCTACTCTTGTACCAGAACTTCGTGAATGAATTTTCATACGGGGTTGAAGTGTATAGAAAAGTATTCAGGAAAGGTACATAGTAGCTTGCATTTTTTCAAACTTACTGATCAGCCGATAGGAAAGTGCATCACTACAATGGTTATCAATAGAAATCCTGTATGGACAAATCAGTATCTTCAAAGGTTAGTGTTTGCAGGGATTTTGATTGGTTTCAAGTTTTACCACCCACAGATATCAGACAGTGGACCACTGAAAACCACGGGGCACTGGAAAGGTGTTTCGTCCTAGTTCATGAGTCTTCATTAATGCCCACCCATAACCTCACCGCAGATCGAACCCGGAACCTCTAAGTTACGAGACCAAACTCGTTGGCTATTTAGCCACAAACTGACAGAAATTAGAATTCAGGGGTAACTGAATCCCTATCCAAGTGTTGAATAGTCTATTAACTTGACATCGTAACTAAATTCTCCTTAATTCAATTGCTGTTAGCGTCAAGGTGATGTGCACTGACGAAGAGCCTCAAACGAGGATGAAACAACCTTTCCGTACATTTTTTTGGCTTATAATAATTATCTCTAACTGGTGTTGATTGGTGACATTGAAACTCTTTAATCATCAACTTTTGGCAAATGAACAAACAAGTTCTAAATCATAGACAACTGTACATTGAAAAATAATTATTCAAAGCTAACAACCAAACAAAACTCACTCACTTTTATATTCCCTTCGACATCATTTCGTAACATAGCAAATTTTGAATCCCATAAACCTGAATATCAATATTATTATTATTATTGTTATTATTATTAAATGTCTAAATTAAAAACAACCAATTTATTGAAGGCTACTTACCAAAAAATTCACATATCATTGTTGACATATTTAAAAATGTTGGTAGATCTAAATTGTCTGCATCTTTGAAGACTGGTACATTTGAGAAAAATGTAGTCATCATTATTCTATTCAGCTGCTATCCTCTTTATTCCTCACTCTTATTTTCTAAGTAAGTAAGGTTAGAGAAGGATGATTGGAAAAATTCCAAAAAGGTGATAAAGGAAACAATAGTTGTGAAGGTCCGATTCACTTGATCTGAAAAGAAAAGAAAATAACCGTAAAAACTTGCTATCTGTACATACAAGAAATGGATGTTGAACTTTGATTGGTAGTTAGATAGGTCACGTGTTTAGGTGAGATATTGATCAAGGTCGGTCGGTTTACAGTCATCTCTTCACAAATACGCCATTGGTCAGATATGCGTGTATATCATTGTATATCATCATTACAGTAAATTGACGCACCTGCGGGCAACTATTTGTCGGTGTTCGGATCCTACATCCACTAGATGGCACTATGTTCCGTTGGGAACGCAAAGCAATAAAAAATAAATGAAAAAACGACCGCAGCTACAGCCTTTTTGATGGTGCGAGAAAATCGGGCAAAAGGCTGCCATATATTTCAAAGCGAGAACACCTACTAAGTCAGTATCCAATGAATGGACATCGTTTTTTTTTTTTTTGACATAATGCCAATTCATAATGTAACGTGACCATAATCCGATGTCATTTTTTAATAAATGTTTTCATCAATGACTTGATTAACTATGTAGATTTTAGTTTCTGACTAGGACTTCAAGAAGTTCACCTCGATGTAGGTTACTAAAGAACACTGGATCAAAGTTCATTTAGGTTCAGGTTTTCAAAGCCTAGAATGTTCCTAAAGTGAACTTCATTGCGAAACAGCATCATTTAGAAAATGACTGAAAACTAAGATTCTCATAATAACTGCTGTGTGATAACACTACTAAATGGTTCAGTGCTAACTTCAGAAACGTAACAATCCTATTTTTAATTCTAAGAGAGATTATGAGTGCATACACTACTGACCAGTCTCAAACTACAGTGGTAGAATTGTCAATTATATTACTTGATTTTCAAAACTCTTTTATCAGTTTATGATTAGTTCCAAGCGTCAGTGGCACAGCGGTAGAATGCTCACCGACCACGCCCCACACGGCCCGAGGTTCGATCCCCGGCCACCAACGCACTCCTTTACCTCTCTAAGCCAGCAATAAGACTGCTAAAGAGGGAAGGCTGGAAATGAGGATAGCAACCCCATCCCGTAAAAATAAACACCAGTGCTACTGAAACTTCAAGCCTCAAGCCCGGACCCTACGTTCCACCGGGAACGTAAAGGAAAACAAAGATCAATTCCATTCTGAAGTCAGTCATATTATCTCGATAAACCTAACAACTATATTACTAATTAGTTTCTGAACTCCTTCTCAGTATTTAGTTCACATTATTTCATTTAATCCTGTCATCTTTAATTTGTGTGCAAGCTGAGCTGTTATTATCATTACTGCCACTATTTTATTTTGACCTCCAGTGGTAAATAGGGCTTCAGCAGTGTATCTCCACTTCACCTTGTTCTCTACAGTCCTTTTCAGCTAGCTCCATGACTGACCATAAGCTTTTCATGTCTTCCTCAAACGCTCTCCCCCCCCCAACCGCACGTCAACCTTGGATTATTGCTCTCCTCGTCGCTTACCATTCGGAGTTCACTCGAGATTATTATCTGGTTTCTTATGTCACTCAACCGTCTCTTAAACGTATGTCCAATACATCTGTATTCCCCTCTCTAGATATTTCTTTGGTGATAGGTATTTTGTTGGTTCATTGATCGAATCCACTATTACTTAACCTTTACGAATGTGTGGTGAAAGCTGTCTGTAAGACAAAACTGTAGAAAAAAAATTTACGTCAATGTTTACGTCCCAAATCGGGGTCATGAGAAAAATCAAGAACAAAGCTTAAACTTGAGGTAATCAACAACCAGTCACAGCAAACTCTGCGTGGGTGGATACGATTCGGAGATATATCACTCGAGTGTCTGAAAAAGGCAACAAAGAGACGACAGAATAACCTTCAGCAAGAAAACAACCAATCAGAAGACGTTGCTTCTTTGTTAACAATAACGCTAATAATAATGTACATAAAAATCTATAAATACCTGTTGATTTCCTCAATAAACGATCTGTTGCCCGGCCCTTGTCTTCTGTTGTTACAAATAATAATAATAACTTTGCATCTTTCTATATTGTTTGCATTATTCTTAATAATAATAATAATAAATCTCAACATAATTACCACAACCATTATCTTAATTCAAAGGTTTGCTTTCTTGTGTTAAAAATCAATAATCCTATCATTTATTTACACTAGTTACCTACTGGTCAATAAATATAACTATGTCTATAACATCATGTTAAAACTTGTTCAGTAAAACAAAACGTTGAAGACAAAAATAGTACAAATACCCTCATTTTAGCCATGGTTATACATTCAATAATTCATCAGATTCTGTTTAATTGGTAAGAACAACTTGAGTAAATTAGTAATAATAATAATAATAATATAGCTATGTCAGTTACGTAATTCAAAGGTTACGCACCAAATGAAATAATAACCAACAAGTTGAGAAAATTGATTTAAAGAACGTCTAGTGCCGGAAAGCTGCAGCTTATATTTCCACACAACCCGATGTGATTCCAAGACAGAAAGATGAAGTACCTAGTCTAAGCTATCTCTGATCGTATTTATCAATTCATCGGCTCCTCTAGAACCAGTTATATCGGTCGTTGTTCCAGGACCTTACCTTTTTATGCCAGTATGGCACCAGTTAGCGCCAAAGACAGTTCCAAATTACATCACCTCGTCCAAACAGACCACAAAGCTAGTTAGCATTGAAGGTTCTTTTTCTATCATCTATTGGGAGTTGAATAAATTGCCAAAACCTCTGGATACTGAATACTTCAAACAACAGTAGAGACTATTGCAATTCACTTAAAACATCCGATGCTCTAAGTGCACATAAGAAACAGGTCCAGCCACTATTGCTACTCTGACCTGCTTTTGAATTTATGAACAGATAAACTCTGCTTTATTTTTCTCAGTCAGTCTCGTATTCAGTTTATTGTTTTACTGATGTCTCTTTGCACTTTCAGAGATGTTTTGAACTGTAATCTGCTGATCTTATTGACTTAATTTTATTTAGAATACCAGTGTTGTTGTTAACAACAATTCTGTAGAGATGGTTATCCAGACAAAAGCATTCATTGTTCATTAATCAGGCTTTAAAATTCCTCCTATGAATTCGCTGATTTACGCGCGTTCTTTGGATTGATTGCCTCTATTTGCTAAAATTTCACTTATTATGCACTAACTGTATTATTATAAAGTGTAAATATTGCCATTTTTAGTATACAATAATTAGACATGTTAAACTATAGTGGTCACCACTATGATTCTTCTGAATGGCCTTGAACAACCAACCATATTAAAGGAAATTTAAAGATTAACATCTTGTGAATATCACTTAGGGAACCATTAAAAACCAGCACTGGAGCACCTGACAGCTGTTTCTGTTGTCCTAGTTTTCGAAATCGTCGGCAGTACGCACCCACTGCCTGGGTTCGAATCCGGTTACAAGGCAAGATCGTATACCATTCAGCCACTGGGACCCGATTCAACGGCCATTCCATGAATTCTAACTTCTACCAATTCGTGATTTAGCGCGACCACCAACCAATGCCGTCGGTGGGACGTCCATCCTCACACTTGACTCAATGTACCTCACTAGTCACGACTTCCCAGTAGAATGCCAGGAAACTCCGTCCTGTAGCAAGTCACTGGCTAGCATCATATTAATTTTCTATAGTTGGTCTGTAAGGATTAGTCTTGTTTTTACGGGTTGATCAGGGATTGATATCAGTTAGAGAATGTCCCACCGACGACATTCGTTGAGGTCGCGCTAAATCACGAATTGGAAGAAGTTAGAATCCATGCAGTGGCCATTGAATCGGGTCCCAGTGGCTGAATGGTGTACGAGCTTGCCTTGTAACCAGAATGTCTTCGATTCGAACCCTGGCAGTGAGTGCGCACTGCCAATGATTTCCAAAACTAGGACGAAACAGCTGTCCAGTACTCCAGTGCTAGTTTTCAATGATTCTCTAACTGATAACAGTCCCTGATCAACTCGTAAAAACAAAACTAATTCTAACAAACCAACTATAAAAAATCCTGTGAATACATTACATGTACGTCACTCATGAATAATGATGTGATTGGTTGTTTTAATTGTTTTATTTTCAGGCGTCCTGATAATAGCTACTTAAAATTAAACTTAAGTACAATAACAAGTTCACCTAAATACCTCCACAACTCATGTGCACATAACTTATATTGCGTGATAAATAAAAGAAAAATTTTTTAAATCAAGAGGGAAAAAATCCTGTATTTCAATTATTCGTAGAAAAAAAATAATGCAAAGTCACTTGTCTTGCTGAATAAATGAAATATAACACAGGCATCAACATGGGATAAATAGCTATCAGATATGTACGTTAAATAACCAGACAAGTTATATATCCTAGCGCAAGATGGACAGCTTATGCTGCCCGGTTATTCATGTCCAGCAATGCATTGAAGAGAGAAATAGGGTTAGTCTTGCATAAGATCGAAACCTGGGGAAAACTTTATAATAACAAGTCACACTTAGCTTATATTAAAAGGAGCTGGCAAGCAGAGTCCCAAGGTTAACTGAAGGTCTACAGCTCTTAAGGCCGATGATTTTCTTTTTCGAAGATACTAAGTCCAAATTGATGGCGGTTTGAGCGGAACTCCTTATTTCCAGTATGACTTATCCATTAGACCAAACCACCATCCGCCAACCTACCCATCACCAAACGGAAGATAATTAATTACACTGAATACGCAATTGCTTTTTAGTGTTGTTGTGTATGTTATCTACATTTCTTGCACTGTAGGATCCCAATAAACAATTATTATTTCAGAGAGAAGAATAAGGCATCGAATGATTTCTATACCTAACCATGATCACACAATATCGACAGAAGAATCAACGTTGTGATAAAAAGTGTGCGCAAACATTTTCATAAAGCTTCAGTAATTTAAGACAAATAACAACATATTTTTCTTATTCCGTTACGTCTCCAGTGGAGCATAGGGTGGCTTCAAGCTATAGGCTTGAAGTTTTGGTAAAAGTGGTGTTTATTTATACGGGATGGGATTGCTAGCTTCCTGCCCAACCTTCCCTCTTTACTAGTCTTATTACTGGCTTAGCGAGGTAAAGGAGTGCGTCGGTGGCCGGGGATCGAACCCCAGACCATATGAGGCATGGTCGCCGAGCATTCCACCATTCTGCCAACGACATACGATAGGAAGATCATATTTTCCTTAAAACAGTTGTCAATGACGCAGGTTCATTTATCACATCCACTGAATCGTACTTATTGGCTCTACCACACATTTCTGTTCACTACACTTCTTCTGAATTGTTCTCTCCCCTACCTTTGTGGGCTAACGTCTTATATAATTATTTGGAAGTGTGAAAATCTTATGCAAAAAAGTAGATTAACTAGATACAAGGGAGATACTGTCGACAGCATAAACAACTTCTAGATTCAATGATGGCTTAATAACTAAATTTTTGGATAACAATGAATTCTTATCAAAGAAAATAAATACATACAAAAATATATGCATGTTCACGTGTATGGCAATAAGTCAAACAATATACGAAGTCTGATGTGTCTTCAAGACCACCCCTATTTTGCATTCAGGAGAAAAAGATAAATTGCCTAATTTCGCCTCTTCCATGTGTATCTACCAGTTTAACCGCTCCTGTGAAGTGAGCCAGTTACATGGGCCGTACAATTAGGCGTGTTACTCGTCGGATTTCTGAATATCACCCTGTGGGTTAAGTAAGGGATAAACAAATCTATTTGTAGCGCTATTCTATCTCATCTCGTGGATACAGAACACAAGATTGATGTCAACGAGGTGGCTTTCAAAGTCATTTACCGCATACCAACAAACCTTAACTTCGTCTTAAGAGTTCGGGGGGGGCGTTGGAATGCACAATTAAGAAGCCTAATTTATGTGTCTAAAAGAAGGCGATTCATACATTGTCCTTACCGTAGTCATCTAGGTTCGGACGATCCTCAATTTTTATGGAATTTTCCTAATTTTAGTTGATATTCTATTTGCTACTATATCTTTATTATTATTTAAGCATCTTTAGTGAACTGTAACCCCATTGATCATACTTAATAAATCGATATTGTTTAAAAAACACTAATATTGTTATTGACTACTATTCTAGAATATTCTATGTATATAAACATATATATAATTATAGAGCCAGAAGAGGAAATTATCGAAAAGGATATTCTTTGCTCAATTATTTTGTGTTTTATAAATGTTTGAATGAATTTTTTCGCTAAATAGAAATATTTAAACAAAAGACCTAGAATTATTACATTTTTTCCTTTGCATTTAGAGTGTAGCAAAGAGCTTCAAGCTTCAGTAGCTGTGGTGGGTATCTTACTGGTTGGGTTGCTAGCCTCATGCCCAATCTTTCCTCTTTACTAAGCTCATGAAGCTTACGAGTGAGTCGATCGGGGATCGAAATTCAGACAACATGGGTGGTTGGAGAATATTCTACCACTGAACCACAGACGTAGAGTATTTACCTAGCAATCCATATTAAGATATTTCTAATAAAATACCCAAATATGAAGAATTAAAATATCATCTAAATGAAAGTTACAGGACGCTTTGGAACTAAAGTAGTAAAGAGAAGGTAGAAATATGGTTATGTAATCACTGCAAATATCAGACAGAAATGCATCTGCGTTACTTCAGTAGACACTAAAAAGGCAGTGCATAATATTTTAGTCAAAAAATCAAATTGTCTTGCTTAGTTTAGACAATAAAACTATGCTTTTTTACATACCTGGAACCTACATAAGATATTTACATAACTTAGCATTACATCTTAGTGTGATCACGCTTAGAGTTTTTCCGAGTCAATTCTACTTCAATTACCACAGAAAAATGACATAGGCAGTGTATGACTGAGCAAGTTTCGATTCAGAAATCTGAACAAAAGAGTAGCATTTCAACTTATTGCACTCCATACAACAGACAAAGCTACAGAAAAAGAACTATAATGATAAGGAGTACACGACAGAAAGAATAATTACATGTAGACACATTAAGATTACTGCGTCAGACTGCGAAGAGTGAATGCATTTTGGCCAATGAGAACGATTTTGAGCCACATCACTGACAATCACAAGCCATTGATTCTCAGTGTCTCTACAATGACTTCATGGATTCACACCATGTTTTGATTAGACCACTCTTAACTCTTTTATCACCTAATCCTATATCACTTAATACTGCTCAACGAAAAAGATGGTGGTCTGGTATGAGTAATACGTATCTTAGCCATTTAAAGAATAATATTCTCACATTCTGTCGATCGATTTACCCTCTTTACTTAACATTCAACTCCTAATCTCAATATTATTCATCATACCACACAGCTTAACGCAAACATCTGTGCTGAAAGGTAGCTAAAGTCTTGATATCTTCCACTTTCGATGTCTACGATTCACCGGCACTAAGAAGGACAGAGCAAGCTTCTGCACACTACATTCGTCCTTTGATCGATAACTGGATGACTAAGATGTTAAATGCCACACGAACTTTTTGTATCTCTGCTGGAATTTCGTCAGTAACGAGTTTATTAGGTCTGATGCAACTTCCCAAATAGTTGGAGTGGTCAGCGTGCCCAACCACTTCACTCCCTATCTTTAAACTAGGAATCGATACGAACCAGTCCTGCAGCAGAATCTTACATTTAACAGGGGTGAATCACACCCCAAACTTACTAGAACTTATGCTCAAGGTGTTATAAAGACTGTATTTCTGCAGTGACTTCACCAACATGCTCTAAGTGGACAAGTCAATCGCTAAGTCGCTAAAGTCAGGGTGATATCCATTAGCACATCTGTGATAAACAAAAGTGGGGACAATTTTGTCCCATATAAGCGTCATTGATAGACACCACTAGTTTACATCACAACAGATGACAACTCTTTATAAGCCCTTACACCTCACTTACATTTTAAAACAATGGATAGTGGTTATAATCATTTTTGGCTGACTTCATATATGGTGTTCACAGATAGAGTTAAATCAGAGAGCTTAGCAGCTTTAAGCATAGATTCAGCAACATATGAGTGTAGCACTTAAGATCGAATGAGGTTTCTGTCAAATGTTTAATATGACGTCAAGAATCTAAAAATTCAGATTTCATTGAAAAATTTAGTTTTATCTAGCATTTTATCTATTGAAGCAACAAAAGATCCTAACTCAACATGAAATACATATAAAGTTGCTTTTGCTTTTATTATTGTCTCCCAAAATACTCCCTTAGGGCTATAAAAGAAATTTTTAATTAATTACCTCATGAAATTAACTGTATTTAACTCTTTGTGCCTAAATTAGATTTTTTCTAAGAGTTATTATATTACTGAAGCTTCGTACATATACTAACCGTGTTTTCAATTCTTCTGTTTAACTCACAAAAATAAGGAAAATCAACTCACCTCGGACGAAGCGCTTAACAAATATGACCTTGATATCTAATGAGTATGAAAACTGCTACACGTTCAAACAAAATAATGAAGTAACTATTCGAAATCACGATTGAATAAAAACTGTGACGAAATTTCTATTGTAGTTCTTTGCTTAATGTATAGTCACCAGTTGCAGTTTCATTTTACTAACTTTTAAATAATCGTACATAATCGAATCTTGTAACACGAGAAATAGACCGCGCTGACTGACTGGCTATAACTATAAAAGCCGGGACTTAATTCTTTTCGTCTATGTTCTATGTCTGCTTGTTTGAATTTCCTAACTTTTTTCTCAGGAGATACATTTAAACTTGGTGAGTTTAAAGGCTGATTGTCTATTAAGACGACCACATCACTAAAGTTGACTGAAGTACAGTAGATTGTCACTGTGTGGTTTTTCCTCTCAATAAAAATTCGTTGTGTTATTTCTCTCCTAAACTGGGAAAGACCCTTCTTTGTGTGAGAAATTTTGTCGCGGGAAGTATTCATATAATCTACCACATATCATTTTGGAAACATACAGAAAACACTTTTGACAGCAGAACTCTATCATCACCACATTCGCTAATTTAGGAAGAGGGTTAAGAACCGCTGACTTTCAAGTTCTATATCCTCTTTATGTACACTGACAGCTCTGTGATCTACAGGCTGTGCTGATAACACACTGTACTATACCAATCTCCACAATCGGAATATGGATAATTACAAATTTACCAGTACCCTACATGACCTGTAAGTACTGAAAGCGAAATGTAAAACAAAAGTCTCATGTGTTTATTTTAGCTCTGTGGAATGTGCACTACAGGGTACCTTGGACTTATAAGATAGGCAGAATACCAGTGACGACCATATGTAGGACGGATGAGTGGGATCTTTCCGATAATGAAGATGGCCAAGGTGACGTAGTGGCTCCAAGTCTAGTGCAACCATGCACATCAGTGGTGAAATGAAACTTCGCGTTTAGACACAACTCTTTTCATAATGTTGAAAGGTGCAAAAGCCTCTGCCATTTTACCCTAAAGATTTGTATTCTGTGAGGAAAATATGCAGGGGAGAACTAGTAATGCTGGAATCGTAGAGTGACCCATGGTATCCGATAATCGACTATTTGCTGGCACTGTCACGAGAAAAATAAGGAATGTTAGCGTGCAGGAAAGCATACCCAATCCAAACACTTAACAAGTCAAGTATGGACGCAAAATACATGAATATGAGTCAACGAAACTAAAAAGCAGCACAATCGCACTAGTTTTTTTGAATACTTATTCGATATCTACGTTTGCGACGAAAAGGGAATAAAATATATGGATATTTTTTATTTTTTGATTACAGCTTGATTCCACACTGTATTTTTCGTACAAGTATGGAATTTTCAGCATGGATATCGGTAGCCCAATTTTGCAGGCCGACCATAGATATCAGGTGTGCGTCAGCAGGGAATCGAACATCGGACCATGTGCATGGTCGGCGAGAGTCCTAACCACTGTGCCACCGACGCATGAGGATAGTTGGTTTTTCACAGATGGATATGGCACTTGAAAAATGCAGTGGTATAGAAATTCAAACCCGTCCAATCTAGAAGCTTTGCGTACGACCTCAGCCAGAGTACACGACAACTGGTGCATGTAGAAAATGCTTTTGCTACTGTTGTTACATGACTACTAAAAAGTTCAAGAATTTTACCAATAATTAAGTCTGGTCCGTAACTTGACTTCTAAGTGTCTTCACCTCTTGGTGATACAGAAGACAGCGGTTCCTCAACAAATAATCTGATTCCTGGCCATCAGCGTTCCACCAGTCTACTAGCAGAAGGGCACCACGTCATGGTTCCAGTACATTCCCAACGCAACAATTCCCAAAGCCTCATAAAAAACTGTCGATTCAGACTGTTGCCCAAATTGAGTTTTCGTCGTAGAAGGGCATCCACACAGTGTAATCCGCCTCTCTTTGAAGACTCAACAGACTTTTCCAGGGATAACTCCTAGTTAACGTATATAAGTACGAGTGGCCATTTGGAGGGAGGGTGGCGCTAGCTGATCAGTAGATATGGTGGTGGTCACTAAGGTGAATCACCCCATTCTGCAGGAACAGCGATATGCAATTTGAAGGCTCGAGATATTTCTGATTTTTATGAGGGCTTAGATCTTTATCTTGAAAAAGATAATAATGAACGCCTTGACAGATCATGCTTCTACCGTTAAATATATACCATTCGCTCAGCCTATTGTTGAGATGCGACCACGCGGGATCTGCACAGATTTATGGGCATCTTATAAATTAACTTGCTATCCATCGTCAGATCTTTAAATACCACTTCACAATGTCTTATCTCACTTATTTTCTAATAATGTCTTTACTTGATCATTGTATTCCATTAAACCTAACATTTTATGGCTCTTTATGAATTTGATTCGACTTATTCTATTCCTATTCTCTGGAGGGTACGGTTGTGCACCAACTAGACAAAAAAGCATGAAATAAAGACAACTGGCTTGAAAATAATTGTATTAAAGCCAAAATTGGACATCATGATAGTACGAAATATATTGGTTTTATTATACATTGCAAATGGACGTTGTCGGCCTAAGGATTAATTACTTCCCTATTCTGCTTTCTATATAAATGTGTATATTAATGATATATTTCACTCATTTAATCTATTACACTTTAATGTTTCACCTTAGCACTTTAACTTTTCTAAAACAGCTTCCAATCCTTTGTAAACGTTGTACTTACCTCAATATTGTTTGGTTATCGTATGCCTACAACCACGGGATGAAAACGAAACGAAATCAGTTTTCCCGCTCAACCTGGAGGACAACTGTACAATTCAATAACTATACGGCCTGGTTCAGACAATGAGTGTAATTATATATATGTATCAAATATTTAACTGTTGAAACACTATTAACTTGTAGACAATTTAAGATTTGATATTATACCATACTTGATCGTGCCTGTAAAAGTGGCATGCATTTTCATGTAAATTTATGTTTATATGAAAATAAAAATTATTATTATTATCACTTATATGTGGAAGCGACCCAACGATATCTAGATTTGTCATCAAGTGTGTCAAATCATCTATTCGGAGTGAATCAATGCTTATGCACTTCCAAGCACTGTCGCTGTATGAAAGATGTCCAGTTTTATACACTTACATGCACACTGCTTAGTTGAGTGCCTGAAAACTTGTCCTGGAGAATGGTAGTTTCGGCGATAGCAAGATGCGCCTGTCATATTTCAGCAACGCTTCGCTATAAATCTTGTCCACACTCATGTCTATAGTCTGGAATCCCCCCATTCCCCCCAATTTGAAAGAGCTGCCAATGTACGAATTCGAGATAATTCATCCATAATTAAGCTATTGGCACCAGAATTTTTTTTGATTATAGCTTGATTCCACACCGTATTTTCGGTACAAGTGTGGAATTTTCAGGACGTAGCCCAAATTTTGCAGGCCGACCACTGATATCAGGTGTGCGTCGGCCACGGATCGAACCCCGGACCATGTGAATGGTCGACGAAAGTCCTAACCGCTGTGCCACTGACGCGAATGACGAATATTTGATCTCAGTTGTGAGATTTTGTGACTTGATCCGCGTAACGGGTAGATATCAGTGATGGTGTGAAGGACACAAACTGGAGGTTTAAGATAGGTGAAAACAGGAAACTGAGGACCTCTGATGCGCCAGTGGACTTGTTGCATGAATGGAAAGATGGAAAGTAGTTCACTTCCTCCGATGTCGAGTTGAAAAACCTTGGGGTAGGTGTGGATAGACATTAACTTGGGGATGAAACTATGGCAAAACAGCTTCACTGAAGCCATCAGAGCATAGTTAGACACATTATATGGCATGATTTGGGAGATCTACACGGAAAGACACTGATAATCCCTGAAACTAATTCTGAAGAGAACTTCTACACCCATCTTTGGAAGGAAGTAGAGGTAAGAAAAGGAATGGTTATCTACGGCTGCCTGAAAATTAATAGAAGAGACGAGGATGGTCGAACAAAAAATGAACCAGCGTGATAATTGGCAGCTAAGGGAGAATCTGAGCTCAACTTGTAATGCATTGAATACAGAAGCAGGGAAGCGTAGTAGGGAAGAAAATTGATAATCCTACGCTGCTAACTGGGGTACAACAGGCTGCATGTAAGAGGGACAGAAGTAAGAGAAGGATGCCTACTACCGCTGATGATATTCGTAACTATGGTGGACTGAATCATGCTGCAGATCGCTAGCAGCACAAAGTCGGGTATTAATAATATATTTCTTCCTGTTTATGCAGGAACATACCAATTGTACAGGCATGGATAAGTTATTATATAAATTACACAATTTGATGTATGATGAATTTACAGTTTGGTTGTTCTCTCTGACATGAGAGTCAGTCGGAACAGTCTGCTATAAAGTCTGTGTAGCACATAAAGAGATATAGAAATATTGTCTTCGCATTAAAAAAAACCCAGACATCAGATGAATGTAATACGGATATCTGGGAAAAAAAGCTTGAAGTCAATTCTCTTATATAACTTTGTTGTGAGCAACACCCTTGGTTTAAAGTTTATTGATGTATTATGTTGAGATCAGTGATATATTTATTCCATTTTTCAGCAGTCTTATCGTAGTTTTATAACAGGAAAGAAATTTGATCGTGGAGGCGAAAACTAGATAAGGTCATGTGAAGTTGTTTTACTGCATCAAATGGTGTCGAGGTCGATTCCAGAATTCTCCATTTGCTCCATTTGTGTCTGCATGGCGGACTGTATTCGTAAGTTCAGAAAAATGTTGAAAACTGTTTGAAAACCAGTTGCTTCTTCATTTCAGATCATGAATACTCATTTACAGCATGTTCGCCAGCGTCTTCAAATGGTAGAATTGGATCGTTCATGGAATTTGAGTGGTTATGAGGTAGATGGTTTGGAATTAATCCTCATTTCAGTTTAGATGCAGGGTTGTTCGACCTCGACCAGAAGATGAATAGGAGTAGCAGAGTAACCAAAAGAGAAAGTATGTGAACATTAAAAGGATATTAATGTATATATGTAAATGTTTATGTCAATTGTATAACACATTAGTAAAAAATTACTTTTAATTATAGTTGTCTTTTCACGTATTTATGCGAAGTCTTAGAGTTTATTTAGTGTCATAATGTGTATTAATGA